CCCGCATGTAAATGTTGAACAGCGTCGGGCTGAGCACAGAGCCTTGAGAAACGCTGCAGGTCTGCTTACGGGGCTTGGAGAGAGCGCCGCGGAAAAGGACACGATCGTGGCGGCCACGGATGTAAGTCGTGACCCGCTGAACTGTCATTGTCCGTGGTGTATTGTCAAGGTGGGGAGGACGCCGTGACCAAAGATCTCGGTGACAGCGAGCCCTGTTTCTGAGTCAACAACAAACCAAAAATCTAGAACGGCCATATATTAAAGAGTCGATAGCTAACAAGCGATCACATCATGTACGACCACTAGCAATGACTGTGGTATTTGCCAATTAGATAAGGCCGCTGGCTGCATTAAAACAGCGTACGATAAATACAGCATCCCTGGTGCCTTCGTCATCCGTATCTTCAACTATCGCTAACGATCGGCTCGAGCGGGAGTCGATAAGGTCAGGCCACTAAATGTCGTGTATCACCAATCATATGTTCTCTTCACATTAATATGGTTTTCTTTACAAACAACATAGCGAGCAGTTGCGGATAGTGAATAATACAAGGGCCGCTAGAGATATTTACTAAGCAGGCAGTAAAATCTCCCACACAGCGTCAGAATCACCAGAGGTTTCGCACCACATCTCTAAAGCTAGCCAGGCTTTTGATCGGCTACTGGTATCTGTTTTAAAGCGCCATGGTCTCCATCACAACAGAGAAATAAAAATCTGCGAAGATCTCACCTTAACAATGCTGCAGTACGGATTAAAAACTTTCACAGAGTCCGAGAAACAAGGGAGAATAATCGACCACTTCAAACTCCGAAGAAACCTGGATGGTTTCGTCCCTTGCCCTGGCACATTATGCGCACAAGCTCGTAGGACCCATGTGGGAGTCTCTCACAAGCAAACCATATATTTCATATTATGTAAGGGTACACACAGAATCTTCAATAGAGTACCTAAACGTGTGATCTTATAGCGCCTTCCTCGACCCACGCCAAGCCACACATGCGGTCACGTGATTGCAGTCCTCAATCTGCCTCTGAAACAGACACAACCCACTTCTTCTCTTCCTATACGGCATCAGGGCCTAAATATTACAGCAACTAAGTTTCTACTGCGTGAACGCATCACCGTTAGACTTACAATGCATTAATGCAGTCAAACACCTCATTCGCAGTCACGTTGTCTGAATTAGACAAATGAGAAGAAAAAACGTGTTAAGGACTAGACAGAATATTTCATTGAACCTGTTTAAACGAAACAGAAATCACATGTACAGAATCAGCAGGACTTCATAGCGCCCCCGAGAGTAGGTAGGAGAGGAATGTGTATGAGAGACACTGAACAGAACAGTCATCTGCAACGA